TACGAAGGAGCATGGAGCCGGCTTCCCGGCCAATCAGGAAGCCGAGCAGTGTGTAATGACTCGCTGCCCAGCTTCCTGATACAGGAAGTATCGGGCTGGGCATCGGAGCATTTGGGCGAGTATGAGTACTCGCCCAAATACTCGGCAACCGCACCGATTCTAGTATCGGTGCATCCCTAGATGGAGTCTCCACCGCCAGCTATTGTATTCAGTAAACACGGCACCGGAATACCGGAACAGTGGTGGCATCTAATTGGATAACTATTAGCATGAAAGCTGCAGCATGGATTTGGGAAGTAAAACTGTAAAAACAGTGCAATACGTGTCCGTATACTGTATGTGGCAGTCTACAGAATTCTCCTGTCCTATGCGTCTATCCCACAAATGTTTTTCATAGTTTCATAACCTTCATCCTTTTGTTGACACTTCAGTCTAGTAGATGAATCCATCTTTTATCATCTCCCTGGTACCTTTCTCGCATAACTCTACCTTTGTTTCCTGTAGCATGTTGAAGAAGGTGGCCCCGCTCATGAGGCCGGGCTCTGTGCTGGAGACCTCATCACCCATGTTAATAACGAGCCAGTTCACGGCTTAGTTCACACCGAGGTGGTGGAACTGATTCTGAAGGTGAGATGTTCTGCTCAGCCTTGGTGAAGAAAAGAGAAATGTCCTCCAGTTTATTCTGCGGCATACTTTGACTGCTCACCATCTTTCCACAGAGCGGTAACAAGGTCCTTGTCACCACAACGCCTTTTGAGAACACGTCAATCAGGACCGGTCCAGCCAGAAGAAGCAGCTACCGCTCCAAGATGGCCAGAAGAAGCAAGAGGAGCATGGGAAGAGAAGGGCAGGAGAGGTAACCTAGAGGAGGTGGAGGGGGGCTATGTTGGTCAGTGAAGGTCCACCGTAAGCACCGTAAGCGTGGGGGAGGGTCTCTCAGTGAAGGTTTCAGTGTATTTTAACATGCTTTATTTAATGTGGGTCCCAAGCCAAATATTACAAATAAACAAGTCAGTTATGAATGTGTTAAATACCATTAAAATTTATCTAAAGCCAAAATGGTTTAGTTTAGGATAAAGTAGGGAAAGCTGAGCAACCCTGCCAGGTCCCTCACTCTTTTAATCCTGGTTACCAATGTCACTGGGACCGAAAGTGGAGGGGAGATCCAAAAATTTTAAAGGAGAACTATGAGGTCAGTGCTCTTCACTCACCTCATAGTTCTAGCCGACCTGTGACAATGAGACTGTCACAGGTCGGCTCAGTAGATCGGGAGGTGAGCGAACACATACCGGCGTTCGCTCACCTCTCGATTCTGTCACGGCTCTCTGCCGTGACAGGGGAGGGGCTGGATTCCGCCCTCCCCGCTCCGCCAACGTTGACTGGCGGATCGGACGGGGAGGGGGCGGGTACAGCTGGCTCTGCCTCTAGATAGGCAGAGCCAGCTGTCACTCACGCAGCTGGGCGGATCCAGACATAATTGTTGGGATCCGCTTCAGCTGCGGCGTCTCAGTATACCACGAGCTGTAGCTGGCGGTATACTGAGCTTAGGGTGACGGGAGGACGCTAGTTTGTGTCCTCCAGTTACCCTAAGGAGAACTATGGGGAAAATACTTAACCCCATAGTTCTCCTTTAAGCAGTCACAGGGGATACAGGAACACAGGGGAAATCTTCCAATGGGGACACTTGTTGGGGTAACAGCTGTCTAAGAGGGAACTTCCGGGACCTTCTGTTGTGTCTATGGGACAGGACGTGAAAGCTCCCCATAGGGACACAGAGTACAAGGACCTACCTATAAGTTTTTGGATGATGGCGGCAACCAACATACACAAGACTAAACTCTAGGCCAATACAAAAACACCAGTCAATGTAGTTGTAACTGTAATATTTTAGTGCAGGTTGGTTTTGGTGTCGGCCTTCTGCAATCCCCTGTATAGCTGCTTTCAGGCTAGAAGAGGACGTGTGCTCTTCTAGCCTGAAGAGGACGTGTGCTGACAGGGAACATGCTGCCAGAAGGAGTGAGCAGAATGATGACCTCTTCAGTTTGCTTTTACTACTTTGCTGTCCAGTCAGCAGACAGTTGGTGTGTTTTGACCAAGCTCTGCTACTGTAGCATGGGAGGTGGTGAATCTGGCTTTGTTGTCTGGAAGGGGTGTCAGGGTCACGAAACTGGCTGCCCAGAGTTAAATATCTTTTGAAGTTCAACTCTGGATTTATTTTTGTTTACCTGAAGTGCAGCTCATATTACGGTGCCGCAGAACGCCTAGTTTGCCTTGCGGTAAATACGCCCCTGGCCGCAGTGCTAATCACTCCACCACCATGCTGCTCCCTATTCATTGAACATCATGGTGATGGCCTCATATAAATGGCTGTTAAAAGGGGGATGGTGTGTGCATTCCTGTTGCGTGCTGAAACCTCCCCAAGACATCAGATCATAAAGAGTGCATTGGGCCAGAATTCTCAGTGCACATGGAGAGAGCAAGGAAATAATGTAAAATCTGCACTTATGGAAGGAGTGAAATATAAAAGCTGCTGCGCTATGGTTTGTAGAAACTGTGAAAAAAGTGAATGTGCAGAGAGAGCAGCCCCCCTCCAGAAGATGACATAACATGCATACACTCTACAGAGGGGTGTAGCGAAGGAGGTGTCATTCCAAAATACACTAAAACCTTCATAAGAAAAAAGGTCATGGCCTTTCTTCCTAGCATTGTCTTTGCAGCAAGGGTGGTAAGAAGGGTAGCAGATGAGCAGTTGCGGGGGCAGAAAAAAAAGATAGAGAGATTTTGGAAAGCATAAGGAATGAGACAGGGGACAGGTGTGACTGGGATGATTGGAAGATGGGCAGGAAGAAGGGTAAATCCGCTCAGCTCAGGGCAATAGGAAAACCACACCAGCATATGATTATTATTTAAGGGTCGTCTGCTCCTTTTCCATCCTTTTCTCTTTTCTTTCCTGTCTTGCTCTTCCCCTGACAGTAAGAAGCGCAGCTCTCTCTTTCGTAAGATCACCAAGCAGTCCAATCTTCTGCACACCAGCCGCTCTCTTTCCTCTCTCAGCCGTTCTCTGTCCTCTAGTGACAGTCTGCCAGGATCTCCCACTCACAGCTTCTCAGCTCGCTCTCCAACCCACAGCTATCGGTCAATGGACTCAGCATACCTAGGTAGGGATGACGAGTATGGACGAGTATGTAAGTGTGTGCTGTAATATAGGAAATATAATTATGTACCGCATTTGCTAAATCAACGCTTAACAATGCCGGGTGTGTACGGGGCCATTGCCGTTCTAGCACTGCCTAGTCTGTATGGGACTGGCGCAGTCCCATGCTCTAGTACTTCCAGGTCAGTAAAGGCTGGTGCAGTATTGGCATTGTCAGGTCAGTATGGGTTGGTGCAGTATTGGCACTGTCAGGTCAGTATGGGCTGGTGCAATACTGGCATTGCCAGGTCAGTATGGGCTGGTGCAGTATTGGCACTGTCAGGTCAGTATGGGCTGGTGCAGTATTGGCATTGCCAGGTCAGTATGGGCTGGTGCCGTATTGGCACTGTCAGGTCAGTATGGGCTGGTGCAATATTGGATCTGTCAGGTCAGTATGGGCTGGTGCAGTATTGGCTCTGTCAGGTCAATATGGAGCTGGTTCAGTCTTGGCACTGTCAGGTCGGTACAGGGCCAGACCAGTCTTAGTATTGCTAGGTTGTACAGCTCCAGTCTTGATACTTCCAGGGCAATACAGAGCTGAAGCATTCTTAGCACTGCCAGGTCTATACAAGGTGGTGTAGACATTGCACTGCCTGGTTGATATGAAGTCGGTGTATTCCTAACACTGCAAGGTTTGTACAGGGCCAATGCAGTCTTACCACTGCCAGGTCTATGCCGTTCCGGTTCAGTCTTGGCAGTGCCAGGTTGGTATGGGGCCGGTACAGTATTTTCCCCCACACGGTGTATATTACAGGATGGCTAGAATACGACTGCATAGATCTTCAATGAGGGGTGTTCAGACGAGGTGTTGGCGGAACACTTTAGCTACAGAGACCTTTGCGACGTTTCTGAACACATTAATTTAACCCATAGTGAGGAATCATTGAGGCTTCCCTTCTGAAATGCTAGTTCCAAAGCTGTCACGCTGATTAAGTATGTCTTCATTTCACAAGTTAAGACTTCACTCTAATTTTCCTGATCTATATGCTTGTTTCATGTCAGTTGCTTTAGTTTTTTAATCCAGTCACAGACAGAAAACTAGCATTTTCAGCAGCAATGGCAGCCTCCCAATACAGGTTATCGTTCATTTCTGTTCCTGAATTCCCGCTTAAATGTCCATGACTTAGCCAGATAATGCAGATGATGTGGTGCTGCCTTCCCTCACCCTCCTTGTGGTATACGTGATGGGAACTGCTCTGTCTACATAGAGATGTCTAAGGAGCCTAGCAGGAAATGGAAGAATGTCACAAAGCATTGTCCTTCACTAAAAACACTACAGCAAATTCTTCCAGCAGTTCACCCTCTACCTGATAATGTTCCAGGGCTATTGTTTGAACTGAACTAGTAGCCAACATAGTCTGCCAACAAGTCTATGTGGCTGACTACTACATTGAAATGAGGCAGAGTGCAAGGAGCAGAAGCATGCATGCAGCAGGTGAATTGTGGGGAGGTCAGAGAATTTGCTCCAGTGTTTCCAGTGCAGGACACCACACAGGTACAATATATGGCCAAACATATGTGAACACCCTTCCAAATGATTGAATTCAGGTGTTTCATGTGAAGGGTACTGTTCATGCTACACCATACAATGATATTTTAGACAAATGTAGGCTTCCAACCTTGTGGCCACAGTTTGATGAAGGCCCTTTTCTGTTCCAGCAAGACTGTGCCCCTGTGCACAAAGCCAGCTCCATAAAGACATGAAGGGTAATTCATAAAGTTGCTGAAGGATCAGCCAAAGCTTGGCGGCATTCGGCTATTCACTCACTGCCGTTCGGCCCCTATGAGAATAGGGGCGAACGGCAGTGAGTGAGATGCCGGAGCTTTGGCTCAACCGATCCAGATGTTGGATCGGCTGAGTCGAAATCCTTCTGCACTTCGGCTCAGTCGAACATGCAGAGCATGTTCGGCTGACCGAAGGCAGCCGATGTACGGCTGAAATCAGACGTACTGAGCTGGAGTGAATAGCCGAACGTCATTCGGCTTGGTTATTCACTCGGCTGCCTTCAGCAAGTTTGTGAATAACCCCCGTGGTTTGATAAGTTTCGTGTGAAGGAACTTGTGTCCTCAAAAGCCCCAAAACACTGAATAAGGGGCAGGTCTTCTCATGCAACATCAGTACCTGACAAATGCTCTTTTAGCTAAGTGGGCACAAATTCCCACAGACACACTTCAAAATTATGTGGTAAGCCTTCCCAGAAGATTGGAGGCTGTTATAGCTGCAAAGAGGTACCAACTCCTTCTTAATAGTTTTGGAATGGGATTTCCAACTTTTGGCCATATAGTGAAAGCGGAACCTGACAGATTATCCTTGACCCTCAAATATTGCAGAAAGAAGCTTTGCAAAATGCTATTCATATTCTAATTCCATTCAAGGTGGTATTATGGAAGACAAGCCAACACTCACTTTGTCTCATAGACTTGCATTGTGAGAAGGAGCAGTAAAGCTCAACCATTATGTAGCCCTGCATCATCTGGGTGTTCTCTTTTACAAGCATGTTACAAAAAATATTATTATTAAAAACCTCATTACTTATGGAAAGTGTACCCTCCCACCTTCCCTATAAAAATAAATACAGTCAAGCAGTTATATTGGGTGGTGGTAGTCTGAATGGAAATTATTTATTATTCACATAATTCCAGTAAAGGATTCTGCCAAATGCCCCTGTTAAACCTTCAGCTTAGAATAATGAAGAGTGCAGCGTGATGGGCTGCCCAACAAGTACAATACATGACATAAGTATTATGTTGTGGGTAAAAAGGGGCACGTGAGCATTACATTATTATCTGCCAATGTTGTTAGTAGGTTTTACATAAACTAACTCCAGGTTATACTTGCTGGTACTTTGAAGGCTCAGCAAACCCAAACAGCTATTACACTCTTGGGTGGATGGCTGTTGACTAAAGTGCTCAAAGACTTCTAATGTGTTTAAAGCAGAACTGGCTACGGCCATTTAAAGATTTCAATATTCTTAGCAATTAGTAAATGACCTTTAAAACAAGCCCTCACTGACCTCTGTAACTGCAGGTGCTTTGGAGCAATTTATCCTCAAAATTCACAAGAAAAGCAAATCGGGTCCTGGTCCTGGGTTCCCCCTTTCTGTGCACCTGCTGTGTGTTTACACTATAAATTATAAGGCAGGGAGACTGCTGAGCCAATGCTTGGAGGGGAAAGGAAAAGCAACTGATGAGAGAAAAGTGAAAGTGTTTTCGCTGTAAATGTCGAGAATGAATTACTCCACAGTACCTGTAGCTACAGAGTTCAGCCAGGGCTTGTTTCTAAGGCTCATTTACTGCTTCTTAAGAATATTTAAATATTTCATATGTCCATACCCTGACCACAGTTCCACTTCCAGGGATTCTGCAGCAAGATCTCTACATCCAAGCTACCAAAAAGAGATCTCATGCATGCTGTTGGAAATTTGCTACAGCAGATGAATGAGACTAGAAAATAATAACAGAGCGCAATAGTTTGACTTCCTGTCACAGAGCAGTTCTCCTGGTTGCCCATCAGCACTCTCGAACATTGTGTGGTTTGCAGAATGGTATACTCCCAACACACCACAACCCACCCTACACTATGGCAGGCCAATAATTGTGCTCTGTTCTTATTATTTTCTGATGTTACCTTAAACTATACCTCTGGATTTTCACAGAGCTGCAATTTATGGTGTGTCTGATTTAATCCTTTGTGAGAGCGTTCCACAAACCTGGTTGCTTATCAATTACTTTTTGCTTAAAGGAGAGCTATGAGGCGAGTGATTTCCACTCCTCCTCATAGTTAGAGCCGACCTGTGACATTAAAACTGTCACACGTCGGCTCTATTGATCGGGAAGTGAGTGAACACATAACTCCGCTGGCTCACTTCCTGATCATCTCCCTGCAGGGAGCAGTGACTGTCAGTCACGGCTCCCCGCAGGGATTCCCCCCTCTCCGATCCTCCAGCCCTGAGTGGAGGAACGGAGGGGGGCGGGCACAGCGGGCTCTGCCTCTAGATAGGCAGAGCCCGCTGTCAATCAGCCAGCTGGGTGGATCCCGACAGTATTCTCGGGATCCGTCCCAGCTGTGGCGCTCTGAATATATAGCGAGCTATAGCTCTCTATATAATGAGCTTTGGGTCACAGGAGGACGTTAGTATATGTCCTCCCGTGACACTAAAGAGAACTATGGGATAAAAAGGTGACCCCATAGTTCTCTTTAACATTAAGTATAAGCCACAGTGGTTACCCCTGGAGGACAGAGCCAGAGTCTTCCAAAAACAAATCAGATTGCTGGAAGTTCATAAAAGATATAAGAAGGTCATGAGTAGAACACACAAAAGAAGCAGCGCTCCTCCACAGCTCAGGAAAGGAATGAGACGGGTGCTTGCTGCTGGGAGCACGTCCTTGCTCCAATATGAGCCCATACAAACAGATGAAAAGCTGGTTGCACATCGGATTCTGCTGGGATAGTTTATTGAAGCTGGTACCTCATCACTGGTGTCCCAGCCAAGGTCCACCCACTCTGACGCATTACACCCAATCATGGGCTTAGTCGTAGAGATCTTGATGATTAGGCCATGATTGGGTGTAACGCGTCAGAGAGGGTGGACCTTGGCTGGGACACCAGTGATGTGGTACAAGCTTCAATAAACTATCCGAGCGGCAATCCAGTGTGCGGCCAGCTTTTCTTCTATAAGAAGGTCATAGCTGCCAACTTGTACCAAATATTCTCCAGGAACATTGCTGCTGAGTTGATGAATGTGGAATGTTTTTATATATAACAAACATTGTTATAAGGTGAAAAGAAGAGAATGCAGATTACAAAAACATTTTGTGCATTTGTGTGGACAGATGTTACAACTCTCTGACTGCCCTTGAAAGTCAAGAACAGGTAGCAACTCTGATATCCAGCAGCGACTCATCCCACCAGCAGCCATCCAGAACTGAAATCTATTTTGGGGGAATGCAGTTCGGAAATTCCTGCGTCTCCTTAAAGTTCTGTTGCACTTTCTTCTCATGCTGGGTCCTGGTGTTCCTGTTACATCTTGATATTCTTGTCAATGTTCTCAGATTAGAATGTTCTTTCCACTTGAGAGAGATAAATTACAGAACGTTGGTGTTCAATGAAAGAGCAGCAGGCTACGTACATTAACAACAGGCTCTGAGATGAGATTGATATTCAGCTTATTAATATTCCTTCTCTATTGTTCTTGTTTCAGGGGCCTCTTCACAAGGCAGTTCTCCTTCTTCCAGCACTCCCAACTCTCCTGCCCCTCCTCCTCCATCCTCCTCGACATCCGGTGGTTCAACGTCCTCCTCATCCTCTTCTCCTGCACCTCCTTCTCCTCACATTCGCCCAAGCACACTCCATGGTTTGTCCCCAAAACTGCATCGCCAGTACCGCTCTGCAAGATGCAAGTCTGCCGGTAACATGCCCTTGTCCCCCCTGGCTCACACGCCTTCGCCCACTACAGCCGCCTCACCTCCTCTTCTTCCTAGCCACATTATAGGTAGCAGCCTGACCACTCAGAGCTTCCCTCCAAAGTTGCACCCCTCGCCTCCTGTCTCCCGTCCACGCCCCAAGAGTGCAGAGCCCCCACGTTCCCCTCTCCTGAAGAGGGTGCAGTCTGCAGAGAAGTTGGGTGGAGGTGGAAGTGGTGGTTCACCAAGAAAACAAGAGCCAGGAGGTGGAACACCAGAGGGAGAAGTGGGAGAAAACATGGCGGGCAGATCTCAGCCTGTTAGGAGAGTAGGCCGACAGGAATCTCCTCGGAGCTTATGTGCGGGAGACCTGATAGTGGACAATTTGGAAAGGCTGGAAAGTGACATTGGGATGGGCATATCACAGCAGGCAGAGGGGCACAAAGGCGTTGAAGGGAAAGTTCAAGTAGTAGGAAAGATGGGCACTGTTGTACGAACACCTACTTCGTTTTCACCCCAGGAACCTCCTTCAATTGTGACAGTTGCTCTACCAACACCAGGGGAGCCATCTCATGCCATGACAGGAAGATGCCAGGTCAAAACACTAAGTCCTGTGCAGGAACATGAAGGTAGACGGGGGGAAGGAGACGATGGGATCGGGGAGGCTGATGGAAAAAAGGGAGATAAAGGAGAGGATGATGAGGAAGAGAGTGGGACCATGAGGGAACGTTGGTATTTAGAAGTGGTTGAAGAGCTCACTACAGTGGGTAAAAGTACTATAAAAAGTGGCCCCTCCAACCACAAAGACTCCCAAGTTTCTCAGGCAACTTCACACATAATTAAGTCTAAAACTGTTGATCCTGACCCTGTGAAGTACACCACCGGTCCTCCCCAGCATCTCCACTCCGATCCCTCCCATGCTACAAAAGACAAAAACAAAGAAGTTCCTCCAATGAAAACAACTGATCCTAAAGCTATTAAGTCTTCTTCTCAGCCAACTGAAGATAAGAAGCCAGAAGCTCCTAAAGCTGACCAACCCTTAGGTGTAAAGAATGAAAAATCAAATGTCGACGTTCCAAAATGTCCTTCCCATTCTCCGCCAAGTGCCAAGCTCCCAGAAACCTTCCAGTCAGCTTCCTCTCACCCTGTTAGATTAAATGAAGTGAAAACCAATCAGTTAAAGGATTCTACCTCTACCATCCTAAATATTGAAAAGTCCCCAGATACTCAGATCAATAATGTACCGCCCATGAGGAGCAGTGATGTGAAATCTGAAAAAACAAAAACCTTCACTACCGCAGTGCCCACCACGGAAAACATAAAAGGAAATGGAGCTGCTGTCAAAGATTCCCAAATTGCCGTTCCCGCTTTAGCTTCTGTGAAACCCCTTTCCCCAGTAAGCATACAGATAAGCAATGCAGAGAGCATACAGGCACCCCAAGCTTCAACTGTGTCAGATAATAGTTCGATGAATGGAGCAGATAACGATAAGACAAAATTGCAAGCTATAATAAGCAGCACAGAAGTACATAAACAGGCGGCCAACCAGAGCCAGACTTGTGAGATGGAAATTCGTCATTCAACAAGCAATACTCAGATAACTGTAAACAAGGTTAGCAGAGTGGAGAGTGACAAGGCCACGGTCACCACTCCTCCGGTTTCTGACAACAAAGTAACTGGCCCCTATGCTGGTTTTAAAAGTCTTACTGAGAGCACCTCAGTAACTGGTGGGCTTTCAGGGACGGCCAACGACAAGGTTAGGGACACCGCCGATCATCCAAGCACTTGTAACGCTGGTGAGGAAAAAAAAAAAGCCAAATTGCCAACTGCTGCTTCGGATGGTAGCATCAGCAGAATTCTGAGCGACCAAGCTAAGAAAAACTCATTCCCTCTGAGTCAAGACAAAGCCAACAAGCCTGACCCCAACCAGGTATCAACCACCCCTTCTTCCTCGCTTAAGCCTGCTAATGGTGGAGACCCCAACCAGATATCACCCGCCCCTTCTTCCTCACTTAAGGCTGCTAATGGTGGAGACCCCAACCAGATATCACCCGCCCCTTCTTCCTCACTTAAGGCTGCTAATGGTGGAGACCCCAACCAGATATCACCCGCCCCTTCTTCCTCACTTAAGGCTGCTAATGGTGGAGACACCAACCAGATATCATCCGCCCCTTCTTCCTCACCTAAGCCTGCTAATGGTGGAGACCCCAACCAGATATCAACCGCCCCTTCCTCACTTAAGCCTGCTAATGGTGGAAACTCCAATCAAGTATCAACTACCCCTTCTTCCTCACCTAAGTCTGCTAATGGTGGAAACCCCAACCAAGTGTCAATTGCCCCTTCTTCCTCACCTAAGCCTGCTAATGGTGGAAACCCCAACCAAGTGTCAACCACCCCTTCTTCCTCACTTATGCCTACAAATGGTGGAAACCCCAACCAGATATCAACCGCCCCTTCTTCCTCACTTAAGCCTGCTAATGGTGGAGTGGAGAATGACCAGACAAGATTGTCCAGATCTGTCGCCGGAAGTGGCATAACCGACAGCAAACAGACTAAAGAGACCTCGGTGACTTCTCTTAAGGTCACCAGTCCAGAACAATGTAAGCAGTTGCCTATAACGATTACAGGTAGCGGAGTCAAGAGCGACGGCAAGAGCGGGACCTGCGCACCACTGAAGTCTCCGAGTTCTCAGACGGCCACAACAGTTAGGAGTCAGCACCCCTCTTAAGCAAAACAACTCCAGAATGTCAGGGTGTGAAAGGGTCAGAATCACAGTGTTGATATTGTAACTGCGGCCTAGCCCTCTAACGCACGAGGGAGCAAAGGAAAAAAGTGGGGCTGGACTTATTCGCTGCCACCGCGGGATTTTTGCAATGAGCCTTATCGCTCCCCCTCCCCTGCAGTCTCTTAAAGAGAAGCGGGGGGCCACACTGGCGTGTATGTGTGTGTCCAATGTGTGTGCGCGTCTGTGTATCTGTGTGTTTGTGCCGTGCCTTACTTGTTTATTAGTCGGGGGGAAAAAAAAGTAACCGCACACATACACACACTTAGTGCTAGAATCTAAAGAGATAACTGGAGGACGTCTGGCCGGACTAGGCAGGAGGAGAAGGAAAGGAAGTAGGTCTGTGCACGGCAGCCATTTTTGTCACACCGATGAATATGAAGCCTAACTTTTCATACAGGAACTGTTGACATAGCTGCGGCATACTTGACGGGCTTCATGTTGTTTAAGGCAGTGCTAGGCCAACTCTGGCCCTCCAGCTGCGGTGCAACTACAAATCCCATGAGGCATTGCAAGACTCTGCCAGCCACAGGCATGACTCCCAGAGGCAGATTCATGGCGGGATTTGTAGTTTTACCACAGTTGGAGAGTTTGCCTACCACTTTAGGTGAACCAGTCTCAACTGGGCTCATGCAAGGATTACAATATTTAGTCTTAAAACTGTAGATCTGTGGAGGTTCTCATTCATCCAGGTCATGGTATATGTGTAAAAAATAAGTCAAGGCAACTGGACTGGCTATATTTATCTTGAAGACGTTTCGCTGGCCATCCAACCAGCTTTCTCCATTTAGAATCTGTCTGAATTCAGAAAGCTAGTCAGATGACCAGCAAAACGTCTTTAAGAAAAAATACAGCAAGTCCAGTTGCCTTGATTTATTAAATTTAAAACAATGGAGTCGCTTACTTTTGAAGAAGTTATATCTACTCCCTTTGTCTGAGTCTGATACTTCGGTCTGGTTCACACCGAGTGCGGAGCAGAGCAGTTACAGAACGCATCAAAAATGCATCCAATGTATTCTAACGGTATTTTGGGCTCTAGTTCACACCATAGAGTTCGGATCCAGAGCATGTTGAAAAACTGCAGCATGCCCTATTTTTTCAGCTCTGGAATGCACCAAAATGCATGCAAGCGCATTAAAAATGCATGCAAACGCACTGAAAGCCCATTTTAGGCAAAAAAAATTAAAAACAGACCGGAACGCGTCAAAACACGCTGCACAGCATATGCAGATCTGGTCTGGATTTGGTGTGAACAAGCCCTTCAGCTTCAGTGTTGGGGGATAGAGTGTCACCTAAAGTCTAACAACTGCTGTCTTGTTAACTGTGTGACCTCACAAACTGCCTCCCAGCTCCTGAGATTGCATAAGAAAGCCCCATAGGTTTTTTTTACATTCATCTTAACTATGGGACTCTCTTATTTGGGAACTCTTAGGAGCTTGGGGGACAGTATCTGGGACTATGCAGATGACAAGCCACAACCAGGTGACCCTCAGGCTGAAGTGTCAGGTGTGGATGAAATAAGTAAAGGGGACAAACATAAGTATCCCTGTAGCTTTAGAATATTTTAAAGTAGAGCTTTGGCCAGACTATAGAGGGTTAAATGCTCCTTGTATCTAGGGGGATTGGAATGAGCAGTAGTACGTACCTGGTTCCTCAGGAAACCAGTCGTGCAACTCAGAGGAAAGCTGCAGGATGGAGGAATAAAGCATAAGGTAAATATTACTACCTATTCCTCTCCCCTAGAATAATTGAGCATTTAACCCTTACAGTGCGGGGGGACCTCACTCCAAGGTTTTTTTTTTTCTGCTGCCCAGAGCTGGGCTTTAAAACAAGCCCTCACTGACCTCTGTAGCGGCAGCCTCTCTGGTGTAATTCATCCTCAAAGTTTGCAACAGAGGTTTTATAGTTTTCCATCTACACGGTAGCTCAGCTTCCCCTGCCAGTGGTGATTTGGCATCCTGCCGGCCTTTACATTTTTTATGTATACACAAAGCAGGAGCACAGAAAGGTGAGAGAGCAAAGTGCTGAGACCCGACTTGAATTACTCTAAAGTGTTAATTATGAATGTTGAGGATAAATTGCTCCACAGTGGCTGCAGCTACAGAGTCAGTAATGGCTTGTTTTAAAGTGTATTTACTTATTGTCCATAGCCTGGTCACAGTTGCACTTCAGCAATCAGGACACTTGCATGAGACCAATTGTGAAGGGTTCTCTTTAGGTCACAAAATGGCTGCTTATGATGTTTTTACTTGAACAGAACTATAGGAAGGAACGCTCAATAAAGTAATGACCTGCAGGATTCCAACTCGCCCCCCTGCATGACATCACTGCCACCACCATTACCCCCCCCTTCAAGACCTTACTCTGTGCTACAAAACCTCCAGACCTGTGACATCTCACCCCAGCCTATGATGTCATCAGCCTGTGCCACGTCCGGTGATGTCTTGCATTGCCTTGTCTTACCTACATATAGAAACATACATCTATACATAATGAAATATATTTATCTGGACACACTATATATATATATAGATCTATATAAATATATAAATATATTGTCTATGGGGCTCCACTATTTCTATGCAAGAAGATTTATGGTTAAATTGAATTCTGTCAGACGCCGACCAGCTATCCCGGTCCGCTGTTGGCTCTGCGGAGGTTAGTTTGTGAACTATTGTTTTTTTTTTTCCTTTTTATTTACTTTTGTGTATTTTTTTAATCAATAAAGCTGTGCCCCTCTATCCTTAACTAACAGAACGGTTTGATTTGTGTCTTTCTCGCTTGGAATAAGTCTTCATACAAAGGTACAAATGTTATAAATTCGCCAATAAACATTACACAAAGCAAGAGGAAAAGAGAGGCCGTATCATCAATGATCGGGCATAGAAACAGGATCGATAGATAACAAGTAGCCATAGATAGATGCCTGTATGGGTGGTCTTTGGGAGTAATCTATGCCCTGCATGGGCAGTCTTTGGGAGTAATCTATGCCCCGTATGGGTGGTCTTTGGGAGTAATCTATGACCCATATGAGCGGTCTTTGGGAGTAATCTATGACCCATATGAGCGGTCTTTGGGAGCAATCTATGCCCTGTATGGGTAGTCTTCGGGAGTAATCTATGCCCTGTATGGGTAGTCTTCGGGAGTAATCTATGCCCTGTAAGGGCGGTCTTTGGGAGCAATCTATGCCCTGCATGGGCGGTCTTTGGGAGTAATCTATGCCCTGCATAGGCGGTCTTTGGGAGTAATCTATGCCCTGCATGGGTTGTCTTTGGGAGTAATCTATGCCCTGCATGGGTTGTCTTTGGAATTGGTTGTCTTTGGGATTAATCTATGCCCTGCATGGGTTGTCTTTGGGAGTAATCTATGCCCTGCATGGGCGGTCTTTGGGAGCAATCTATGCCCTGCATGGGCAGTCTTTGGGAGCAATCTATGCCCTGCATAGGCGGTCTTTGGGAGTAATCTATGCCCTGCATGGGCGGTCTTTGGGAGTAATCTATGCCCTGCATGGGCGGTCTTTGGGAGTAATCTATGCCCTGCATGGGCGGTCTTTGGGAGTAATCTATGCCCTGCATGGGCGGTCTTTGGGAGTAATCTATGCCCTGCATGGGCGGTCTTTGGGAGTAATCTATGCCCTGCATGGGTTGTCTTTGGGAGTAATCTATGCCTCGCATGGGCGGTCTTTGTGAGTAATCTATGCCCCGTATGGGTGGTCTTCGGGAGTAATCTATGCCCCATTTGGGTAGTCTTTGGGAGTAATCTATGCCCCTTATGTGTAGTCTTTGGGAGTAATCTATGCCCCGTATGGGTGGTCTTTGGGAGTAATCTATGCCCCGTAGGAGCGGTCTTTCAGAGTAATCTATGCCCCATAATGGTAGTCTTTGGGAGTAACCTATGCCCTGCATGGGCGGTCTTTGTGAGTAATCTATGCCCCGTATGGGTGATCTTCGGGAGTAATCTATGCCCCATATGGGTGGTCTTTGGGAGTAATCTATGCCCCATATGAGTGGTCTTTGGGAGTAATCTATGCCCCGTATGGGCAGTCTTTGGGAGTAATCTATGCCCTGTATGGGCAGTCTTTGGGAGTAATCTATGCCCTGCATGGGCGGTCTTTGGGAGTAATCTATGCCCTGTATGGGTAGTCTTTGGGAGTAATCTATGCCCTGTATGGGCGGTCTTTGGGAGTAATCAATGCGCTGCATGGGTGGTCTTTGGGAGTAATCTATGCCCTGCATGGGTGGTCTTTGGGAGTAATCTATGCCCTGCATGGGTGGTCTTTGGGAGTAATCTATGCCCTGCATGGGTTGTCTTTGGGAGTAATCTATGCCCGGTATGGGTGGTCTTTGGGAGTAATCTATGCCCTGCATGGGTTGTCTTTGGGAGTAATCTATGCCCGGTATGGGTGGTCTTTGGGAGTAATCTATGCCCCATATGAGTGGTCTTTGGGAGTAATCTATGCCCTGTATGGGCGGTCTTTGGGAGTAATCTATGCCCCATATGGGTAGTCTTTGGGAGTAATCTATGCCCCAGATGGGTAGTCTTTGGGAGTAATCTATGCCCTGTATGGGCGGTCTTTGGGAGTAATCTGTGCCCGGTATGGGTGGTCAGTGGAAGTATTTGTTCTTTAACATTAATGACATTTCACCACTTACCTAGGTAGCTCGTACTTCTAATGAGAGTCTGGAACAAATCTCAGCATTTATGGCTCCACAAGTAACACCTTAATTCAGTCTCAATGGAACGTACAAAGGCAGAAGATGGTTGTCCAAGAACATGACGAGAGGTATGAACGTTTGTGACATGACACTGTTCTTATTACCTCATGCCTTGGTGCCTTGAAGTCTGGGACAGGTCTAAATTGTTCAAATTACATGGCTGAATGTGCTAATTACGGGCAAATTGCCATTACAGAGATGCTAAAATGTTATTATGTGTGGTGAAAGATGGTGTTGAAGGCCCTCGCCCTTCTTATGGGATGGTTGTTCCAGTTTGACGTTAATGGTCTCTAATGCCTCTTGCACAACAGTGGTCCTCCCTGTCCATCCTTAACCCCCCTGTCATACTCTTGAACAATCACAATCTGCCATAAAGTGACCCTCTACAAAATTGGAAAGGTGTGATGATCGGGCTCCGCTCCGGGCCGCCTCGGGTGGGCTGACTGCGGTGACGGCCGCTCCGCGTTCCACTGTGGAACGCAGAAGCGCTCGACTTCCTGATTGTAAGGCGAGCGGCTTGCGTTCCAC